CCATTGTAAACCCTACAAAATAAAGCTCACCTCAAAAAATCATCGAATAGGAGAACTTATGTAATTGATTCACCTCTCTCCTTTCTTCTTGTGAGATTGTTTACTTTAGCCAACCGCCATTTCTTCTTGAGATATCGCAACCACTCGTCGAAACCGTCTCGCGCCAATGTCTTCTTTGAAAGAGTTTCGTTGCCTGCCTAGAGATGTTTGTAGATCTAACAAGATCAAATATCGCAAAAAGAAAACTGGCAAGGCATTATCAACACATGGATTTTCGGGCTCAAAATAGTCTACAAACGTCCTATTTCGTGCTAGTTTCCTCGATTCCTCAAGACCAACTAACCATTTTATGTTGCTTTGCTCGCAGTCGAGCTTTCAAAACGAAAACATAAGGCGCCGCTCACTTCTGGAACTGGTCGCTGTTTTTTCGGATCATTCTCTTTGTTTCCTTCATCTCTGTCGATTGCCTCCACCTGCTCCATCTCATCCCGACTACGCTTTCCGTTGTCATTAATTACCGGTGGTGAGTCATCCGGTAACTTCTTGTGGAAAAGATCTGTGATTCTTGGTTGGCGGATGGAATCAAACCTGCGAAGAAACTGTCAACAATATCGAGCAACGAATGGTACAAAAAAGTCTTCACATCGAGAATAGGGATGAGTTTTCACCTATTCTTGATCTTATTAGCAAGCCAATCAGGATGTGGGATTCTGGCAACGGGATTGGGTAATCCTTGTAGTGCTGCAGGAATTGTAATGATTTTCTGTATACAACTTCCAAGTCGCTCAATGTAGTAATCCCAGTCCAGGAGCTGAAAAGATCAAGCATTTCTTGTGAACGTATCTTGACGCATAAAAAGCAGGTAGTGAATAGAAGGCCGCAGATTTTACGAACCTCCCTTATATTCATTTTTTCCACAGGTAGGCCGGGCTGCTTCGTCCACTGTTTCAAATAGCGGCACATGACCTTCTCGTCAGCCTTAATTATTAATCGGAATTTAAATCAGAGTGAGGGAATGGTGGAAGGTTTACTTGAAAAATAGCTATCGGAACAGCGCGTTCTGTCACCGGTGCACCAATAGGATGACGAGAAATGACGAATTTACATGCAAGACCGGCATCCTAAAGATGAATAATCAACGCTTAAGTACAGAGACAATAAGAATTCAGCTCACCTTGACCATGTCAGCGCCAAGAAACTCAGCTAATCTTTTAGCTGTACTGATACT